TATATATAGTGTATATATTTTAGAAATCTAATGGCATCAATACTTAGTGAACCATTTGTATGTGCTATGTTTACAAAATTCAGTCTATGGCTGCGAGGTGAAAAATACTACTAGTATATAGCCCAACATAGTACTGTACTGTTTTTTACTTGTACGTGTACTTGTGAAATAAATAAACCATTGATAAACCATTTCCAAAATCATATCCAGTTGCTTGAGTAACTGCTTTTTGGCGTATCGTATTACCTGGATGTCTACCCTTCATCGATGTGAACCATTACTATACTAGTAATCATGGTTTACGGCAGTTCAGCGGGCAAAGCTCCCCTGCCAGATACCATTCTTGTATTCCAGACTTGTTGCGACCCAGGTGAGCATGCTTACTCGCATGCTGACGTCATACTTCCGTAACTATATGGAAAACAAATATCGGACAAATATGGCCGTTCTTCCCTGACGTTGATTTAACGTAGCGCCGTACCCATTCAAGTGGTCCTACAACTTCAAACATACGTCGATGAAGGTTAGACATACTCTCCAAGCAGAGGTTTGGGTTTTGGGGGTATTTTTAGCATGTTTTTAGGCTTTTTTATCGGGGTTTCTCTTTTGCACTGAATTTTTTTCCCACCAAACCCAACCTCTGCCGGCAGTCGAAAGCTTGGTTTGGTGGGAAAAAAAATTCAGTGCAAAAGAGAAACCCCGATAAAAAAGCCTAAAAACACACTAAAAAAACCCAAAACCCAAAGCTCTGCTTGGAGAGTAGGTTAGACACCCAGATACGAGTAAGATACGCCAAAAAGCAGTTACTCAAGCAACTGGATATGATTTTGGAAACAGTCAGACGTTTCAGCTAGTATCCACTAGCTTTCGTCAGTGACTGAGAGACCAGAGGAGAAATGCAGCTTTATAAGCACAAACTATTGAAACTTCAAATATTGTAAATATCTTACAAGCTGGTTTTGAATTCAAGGAAATAATAATAGAGAAATGGTGTAATTGTGAGCACATTCATGTACTCGCTATAATAACATCAACACAAAGTTTTTTTAAGTCATGATGTTTTCAGTTATACTACCATATCTTAATCAGTCTCATAACATTTATGGAAATATTTTGACATCGAGATTTGTTAAATGTAGTAAATTTACAGTGTGAATCATAGATATTGTAGCTTTGCAAACACAGACAAGGTTCGAATTTATACAATGTTCCTTCAGAGACAATCGCTTTTTTTCCAATATTTTCTCCGCCGTGTCTATGGTTAAAGGCACACAAATAGATTACAGGGTAGTATTATATATAAAAACTGTATTTTCAAAGTCAATTTGGATCATTTTTTTATGGAGTAGGTTGAATCAACCATATTCAATAGCATAAGGCAAAAATGCGATGTCGCTGACGGAAAACTGTTGCGTTTTTGCGTTTGGTTCATTTCAAACGCTTGAAGTACGAAATAATGACAAAAATGTGGTAAAAATTGCAAGCAAATCTCAATATCAGACATATTTTCTCATCGAGATTATATTTTTTATTTTGCCGCCCTGAAAATGCAATTGGATATGTACCTCAGACAAAACTTTCCCCTTGTCCCCCCTTCCCTTTTGATGTTACCGCCAGGTAATGTCCACCTGAAGAGAAATGTTCTCCCCTGTGCAAACTCACCTTTCAGATTCTGTGTTGTTTCAACATATCAGCAAATTTGCCATATCCTTATCTGTAAAAGCCACAACATTAATCTCTTAAGTGCGAACAATGAAGGGTTCGGGTCACTGGCGAAAAATGATTACCTAACGCTGACATCAGTTTCAAGCATGACTCGTTTGGAAATGTAATGTTTCTTCAATACAATATTTTTCCGTGGTCTCTTCAGTAGACAATTCAACATAAAATTGTCCGGAATAATTTTTTTTTATATTCCAACATTTCATGACCAAACATGGCGACGGCACACTCAAGTTATTTCAACTTTATATCTTATGCAGCCACCAACACAAATACAGTGTAGAAATACAGGACAGGACGATACTCATTTTCACTTGAATTAAGTGAGGAAAGTCGTGTAAAAAGCCACAAGATCGGTGGCATGTCAGGACTCGAACCCGGGACTTGGTTCCGAGTCGAACACTCTGCCGCTAGACGCCACATCATCCGAATAGATTGGCAATTATAACCGGCTTGAAGACCGGCTTCGAACCGGTTCTGATCTGGCTCGATCCGGCTCAGCTACGATTCGGGTCCTTTTTGAGCCGGTTTGGGAGCGTTCTATATCTAGAAGCGAATTTTTCGTCTAAGTTTATATTGTACATACACAACGTTCAATATTTCAATACAAATGTAGTTCATATTTTAACGTATCCAATCTCTGTCCGTCTCTACCTCTCTCTGTCTATTATCTAATTTGCTGGCTTTAAAAGCGATACCGGTACAAAAAAAGAAGAAAACCGAATAAAAGCGCTTAAAAACACGTCAAAAATATAAGCCGAAGCCTAACAATCTGCTAGGAGAGTATATAATATATAATGGCCATATATTTATGAGCACTTTACCTGGATGTACTTTACCTTAATGATCATTGCTCATATGAGTAGCTTACACGTGCATTGTAGACAATATGATTTATAAAGGTGAACCATGCAGTGATTTGGGATTGTTAACAATTCTTACAAGTACATACATGCATAGTGAGAGAAGCAAATATACATTGTACCAAGAAAATATAGAAAACGTATACATGTAAAACTAAACACTACATCTGGCTCCAACTCGACATGCTTCCATGATGTCGAATTTTGCACTCGGAAATGTCCATACCAATTCAAAATGCGGTGGCGGAGAGGTAGAATGCTCGACTCGGGACCAAGTGGTCCGGGGTTCGAGCCCTGACATGCCACCGATCTTATGCCCTTGGGGAAGGCATTTTACACGACTTTCTTCACTTAACTCAGGTGAAAATGAGTATTGTATTGTCCCCTGTGTTGGTGGCGGCATTAATATAAGTTGAAAAAAGCTTGAGTGTGCCGTCACCACGTCTTGTGATTACATGTTGGACTATAAAAAAAATCAAAGTCATTAGCGTTAATTGCGAGCATATCGTTTAGCGCAGTGTGGCAATAACATTGGACCGTCCCCAGATACGTAAGATTTTTATTGAATGCAGCCCACCCCCCGTAGTGTCTACATTCCTTCAATAAGGAGTAAAAATCGGACTTGTACACCCAACCGCCGGTTTCATCTGGAACGTCGGCACAAATACACTCATTAAATCCCACTGCAGGCCAGAAATGATTTTCAAATATATCAGCATTTATCTTCTGGGTGGCAATAAGGCCACAGCAAGTAAATTTTGGGGATGACATCCTCCGCAGACTCCAAATCTAATGCGAGCGGGCGAAAAAAAAACAAGGCGGACCAAAAAAAAAAAACAAGGTTCATACATTCTCAAATGTTGACTCAATTATTGTACAAATGGTTTTGATTCAGTGAGAACATTGTATACACAGCCAGCATCACATATCACTGCATCAAAGTAAAAAAACAAAACATTAAATCAGAGCCTTTTCTTGTCTCCTGTCTTTATACTTATCTGCCATCCACCTTCCGGCATGGCAGCAGACATCTATGCCCATTTTCGACATGTTGACCACTGTCAGAAGGCCACCGTAGTGAATAAAATTTTTTCTTCTTTTTTTCCCAAAATCAGGCGAAAATTAATGCGCGCGCTGATGTCATCCATATAAATTACTTGCTGTGGCCTAATATATTGACGCGAGAAAGTCACAGGTGCGACCGACGTCCACAGTTCAAGCGATAAAAGTCTAAGATAAAGCCAAGAAAGAGAGAAAAAACTCCACAAACGCTGCTTAAAACACCACAATCCGTTCACAGAAGTGATTACACTTTACACACAGACCAGTGGTTTTTCAATTTGAAGCCATCATAAATTCCCATTGGAAAACGCGCGTTTTTATATACAGTAAATGTCGAGTCATCTGTGGTTCCTAAGTGACTGATGAGTACGGCACACAATGCTTATCGCTCGGCGCGGCCATTTACAATAGGCACCGCCGGGGAACAGTTTACCTGAATGAAGCACATTAAGCCTTAATCAATAATGAAAATCGCCCACACAAAAGACGTTTCCTCTGCGGTTTCCAATGTAGGTCTCCAAAGGCGCAACTCACACACACACGGTTCGAACTCACTAATGGGGCGTACTAACGTCGCCATGGTAACGGCATAGTTGACTCAGTGATTACACACTAGGCCACAGCAAGTAAATTTTATGGATGACATCTTCCGCAGACTCCAAATCTAATGCGAGCGGGCCGAAAAAAAGCAAGGTTCCTACATTTTAAAATGTTGACTTAATCATTGTACAAATGGTTTTTATTCAGTGGGAACATCACATATACGCAGCCAACATCACATACATTGTATCACTGCATCAAAGTAAGAAACAAAACATTAAATCAGAGCCTTTTCTTGTCTCCTCTCTTCATAGTTATCTGCCATCCACCTTCCGACATGGCAACAGACATCGTTGACCATTTTTGGCATGTTGACCACTGTCAGAGGGCAACAAAATTTCTTTTTTTCCCCCCCAAAATCGGGCAAAAATTAATGCGCGCGCTGATGTCATCCATGAAAATTACTTGCTGTGGCCCTACGTGATGGAGTAGAATCAGTGTTGGTTCTGGAAACATCGTACAATGAGTCGCGACAACAAAGGATCAAATGTACGCGAACTGAACGTGGATGTTTTGGATCCGCCGACAGTACCGAACACGAGAGAAGGCGGGGAAGTCTCTCTTGTGTACCGGCTATGTGGTCCATGCATTACCGAGGGGACACGGTCTAGCTGATAGTCTCTATCAGACCTCTCATCAGGCCACAGGTGCATTCATTCGGTCCTCCCAGAAGTCTGGTAGAGACTATATCGATATTTATGTTTTAACATCACTGATACTACTCTCTCTCTCTCCCCCCCTCTCTCTCTTTATATATTTTAAAACATCACTGATACTGAGGGTGTGACTGTAATTCTCTCTCCCTCCCTCTCTCTCTCTCTCTCTCTCTCACACCCTCTCTGCCTAACTCTCTCTCCCTCCCTCTCTCTCTCTCTCTCCCTCTCTGCCTTACTCTCTCTCCCCCTCTCTCTCTCTCCCTCTTTATATATTAACATCACTGATACTGAGGGTGTGAATGTAATCTCTCACTCTCTCTCTCCCTCTTTCTCTCTCTCCCCCTCTCTCTCTCCTAGAATTGCTAGTTGTACATCTCAAAGCGGTACAGAGGTTTTGCGTTTTCTAAACATGTATGAATTTAAAGCAGATTACTCTATACTGTAACGTTTGTATATTAAAATATGAATACGTATCATGTATATAAATATGTGTAACGTTATATATATATACGGTATAAAAGACATCTCTATATTCTTTTTGCCAAAATCATTCTAAAATGTCTACTTATAACATTTCTGTTACATCTTAAAGCGATTATTATAGGTTTAACGTTGTCTAAACGTTTCTGAAAGAAGACTACATGTACTGTAACGTCTCTTTCATGAAGATTCTATGGTTTGATCCCTCAGGAAATCATCCCACTAAATGTCGTTTCCAGCGGCATGAATACTTTATGACGTTTTGTGTTGTCGTCTCTCAGACTCAGGACAGGCGGGCAGCATGACCACACCGCGATGCGACACGACATCGTCTTACTGCTAGCGTTAGGAGTTCTCACATGCTTACAAACAGGTAAGAACGTTTTATCTTAGACCAAAAATGTAACCACTGTCTTACTGCGAGCGTTAGGAGTTCTCACATGTTTACAAACAGGTAAGAACGTTTTGAGCACCTTTATCTTAGACCAAAATGTCTTACTGCTAGCGTTGGAGTTCTCACATTCTTACAAACAGGTAAGAACGTTTTATCTTAGACCAAAAATGTAACCACTGTCTTACTGCGAGCGTTAGGAGTTCTCACATGTTTACAAACAGGTAAGAACGTTTTATCTTAGACTAAAAATCTACCCACCGTCTTACTGCTAGCGTTAGGTGTTCTCACATGCTTACAAACAGGTAAGAACGTTTTAAACACCTTTATCTTAGACCAAAAATGTAACCACTGTCTTACTGCGAGCGTTAGGAGTTCTCACATGCTTACAAACAGGTAAGAACGTTTTAAACACCTTTATCTTAGACCAAAAATCTAACCACTGTCTTACTGCTAGCGTTAGGAATTCTCACTTGCTTACAAACAGGTAAGAACGAGAATGCCTTAAAAAATCCAACCACTGTCTTACTGCTAGCGCTAGGTAGTTATCTCATGCTTACATATGCCTTAAACATGTACCTAAATTTATCTTAGACCAAAAAATCTAACCACTGTCTCACTGCTAGCGTTAGGAGTTCTCACATGCTTACAAACAGGTAAGAACGCCTTAAAAAAATCCAACCACTGTCTTACTGCTAGCGTTAGGAGTTCTCACATGCTTACAAACAGGTAAGAACGCCTTAAAAAAATCCAACCACTGTCTTACTGCTAGCGTTAGGAGTTCTCACATGCTTACTTTTATACAAACAGGTACGGAACGCCTTAAAAAATCCAACCACTGTCTTACTGCTAGCGTTAGGAGTTCTCACATGCTTATAAACAGGTAAAACGTCTTATAATGAATGAATCTTTATTGCAGATTCTTGCCCAAATGGCTAAATGCACATGTGACCATATGTAATATAAGATTGCAAGTTCCTCTCACTGTACCTTATCAGGGAAGAGCGTTAACGTTGTTAACGTAAAGATTTTACATGGTTTACTTACAACAGGTTCTTATCTGTTAGAAATCCTTACGTTAACATTGAGACAGTATCTTAGACCAAAAAAACACTGCCGTATTGTTAGCGTAATATTATATTATGAATCTCTTGTCAATATTATATAGAAGTATTTATTGGCAGATTTTTTTATTTGATTTATTAAAATTGAAATTGTAAGGACATAAGCAGCTGTTGCTGGTGTTGTGTCCCAAAAACAAATACAGAACAGACAATACTAATTTTCACTTGAGGAAAATTGTGTAAAATGCCTTTCTTAAGGGCACAGTGGCATGTCAGGACTCGAACCCCGGACGTTTTGGTTCCGAGTCGAGCACTCTGCCGTTGCGCCACACGACACTACATTTTTCCCCCTCTGAAATTGCATTGGATGTGTTTTTTCTCCAGGGTCGGGTCTTACCTGCTACACGTGTAAGGAGTCGTTCCGATGGGTTTACTACAGCACGGTGTGCGAGAACGAGGTGACCAGGGACAACTCCAGCCTGTCGTCATGCGGCTCCAGCGCGCGATACTGCATGGTACGGACAGATAGGGACAGGGACGGGTGAAAGAATGAAAGAAGGAAGAAATGTACCGGAAGTAATGAAGGAAGGATCGGAGGAATAAAGAGATGAAGGAAGGAAGGAAGAAATGAAGGCAATAATGAAGGAAGAAATTCGAAGTAACGAAGGAAAGAAGAAAGGAAGGAAGAAAGGAAGGCAATAATGAAGGAAGAAATTCGAAGTAACGAAGGAAAGAAGAAAGGAAGGAAGAAAGGAAGGCAATAATGAAGAAAGGAAGGAAGGAAGGAAAAAATTCGAAGTAATGAATGAAGGAAGGAAGGGAAGAATGAAGGATGGAAGAAATGAAGGAAGGAGTGGAGGAATGAAGAAATGTAGGAAGTAATGAATGAAGGAGTGGAGGAATAAAAAAATGAAGGAAGGAAGGAAGAAATGAAGGAAGGAATTAACGAAGGAAGAAAGGGAAGAAAGAAGGGAGGGGGAGGAAGGGAAGGAAGGAATGATTGGATAGCTAGTTGATTGAATGATATACTATACACACGAGCTCACTGCTAATCTCTAAGCAGATATTTTGACGGCATTCTCCCACGGCAGAGCTGTCCCGCGGCAAATACGCCTTGGGCTGGTAGGAAGCACCCCTGGCGTGGGAGGATGTTTGACGGCTGGCTGCAAGACAGTATCAATTGGCAGGGTAGTATCTGTATACCAGGCAGTTACCATTTGCGTTTGCCTCTAAAATTTGCAATTGGCTGGCGAAAAAAAAATACCAGTACAAAAAAAAAGAAAGTCGCTTAAAACACGTCGAGTCGAAAACAAGCTGAAGCCTAACCCTCCGGTTAGAAGGTATGGGAAAAGAATACCAATCAAATATGAATATGAATGTGGCATATTGAACATATATTGTTGATTGAAAAGTCCCCCTGTTCTTTTCAGATCGAGAGCACATCAGTCAACGGCATCATAACGAACTTCGAGCGCGGCTGCGCAGACACGTGCTACTATGGGTGCAAGATGTCCGGCCTCGGTGTCACTAAAGAG